AAAAAGGAAAAGGAAGAAGGAAGATTTTACCTATTTAAGTTTTTTTTTTCCTAAGAGATATGGCTAAGCAGGTGTCACTTGTGGGTGATGCTGCAATAGACTTCATAAACCTAGGGTTAGACTGTTAGCTAAACTAGCAGGGACCCACCAAATACCTCGTCAAAGAAAAAGAAACAATGGGAATTGTTCCTAGTTCTATCTTGGCTTACATTGTGTTGAACAGTAGCTGCCCTTCAATGTATTAGGTCTGGCACTGAGGAGTGAGAAGTAGAGAGGAAACAGGGATTAGGCTACTAATAACCTGTATAACTCATTAAGGAAACAACAGTTGCTAGAACTACTGTAATCCTATACAAAACGCGAAGATGGTGATGGTAAAATAACTAAAATAAGGTAAAAGTAAAACAAAACAAACAAAAAAAAGGGTCCTAATAGTGTAGGAAACTAAAAGGGAAAGTAAATAAACAAATTGATTTAATTAAATCTCAAATTTAATACAAATCAATTTAGCTGAATTGGTACATTTGTGCTAAACAAATGTAAATAAATGCAATAAAATTAAAGAGAGGTAGAATAAAGTCAAAACAAAAATAAACAATAACACAAGTAAAAACCAAAGTATGTGGGGAGGGACCGGCCGAACTGAATCCAAAGAGGAGGTGATGGCATCAACAGGAAGTGACACCAGGAGTGACGGAGAGAGAGGGAGAGAGAGAGAGGGAGAGAGAGGTGTGGTTAGAAAGTTACACTTTACACGCCTATCTAGCGTTAGTCGTATGCTAACAGCTAGCAGTTGAGGTAAAGGGCTTAGCTTAAGAGTTAGCGTTGGTTTACACGCAGTTCTTTGTTTACACACAGGTCTGTGAAGTGGGTGCTGTTGTCAGATTAACCGGAAGAGTCTGCTCACACTTCCGGGGTCACGTGTTGCTAGGAGACCGATGCAAACTCACACCAGGTGCAAGGGTAGCAGAACTTGCACTGCCGTGAGCATGCATGGGAAACTCGTGCGGGGCATAACAGTCAGTTATGACATGTCCCATACAAATTCATTCATTAATCAAAACAGCACATTCACTTCACAGGCAATGGTGGATTCGTAGTTAGCTACGCTAGAATAACACCATTAATTTTACGTAAATGTTTCACATGAACGAATCAAAATGAAATACAATGATACGTAGCACATAATAAGGCCTTAAATTAGTGAAATGAGGAGTATCGCTCAGATCACCTACACAGTGCTGAAAAAGGGGATTTCTTCGCCCAAGATCAGACTGATGTATTTTGGTACCATTTATATGGGCTGCTAATCTGAGGTTTACCCATCAGAAAAGCCGTACCCTCTACTAACAACAGAAATTAGGATTTCTTCGCTAAAATCAGGTTAGTTTCTTATCGTACGATTTAAACACATTATAGCACTGAAACTTTCTACTACCTGTAGGAAGGCACATTCAAGCTATAGTTTTATCTGATTTTGATCAGAAATTGGTGCGCGCATGTATACGCGTTACGTAAATGTTTCACATGAGCGGGTCGATATGAATACAATGATACATAACACATAATAAGGCCTTAAATCAGTGAAATGAGGAGCATCGCTCAGATCACCTACACAGTACTGAAGAAGGGGATTTCTTCGCCCAAAATCAGACCGATTTATTCTGGTACCATTTATATGAGCTGCTAATCTGAGATTTCGTCGTCAGGAAAAAGACTTATGCTCCACTAACACAGAAATTAGGATTTCTTCGCTAAAATCAGGTTAGTTTCTTATCGTACGATTTAAACACATTATAGCACAGAAAACTTCTTACTGCTTGTAGGAAGGTGCATTCAAACTATAATTTTATCTGGTTTTGATCAGGAACTGGTATGCGCATGGAGAAGAAGTTACTAAAACTTATGAAACAGACACATAAGATTGATTATTGGGTCTGCTTGCAAGCAATGTTTAAAACGACGCCACCGTTCTAAATTACTGCTCGTCCTGCATAAAGTAGGAACTATTATTTTCCTGGCCATGTGAATGCTGGGAGTTTTCTGGCTAGCTTGTCAAGGTCTCTGGGGGTCGCATCATGCGCTGCTGCAGGGATGCTTCCCTGTGGTTGCTTGAGGTATTATGGTTCTGTCTGCTGAGTTGTTAAGCAGAAAGTGTTGGCTCCCCCCTTCGTAGCTTAGTGCACCTAAGGGAGTTTGCACTGCTGAGTGAGGATGCAGGAGTAGGGTGTCTCTCCCACTGCGTTTCCTTTCGCAGCCTATAGGAGTCCCTGAGTTCTCTTCGGAACATGTCAAGCTTGTCTTGAGTGTTGTTCAGCTGCTGGATCAGAGTCTCTTGAAGTCTATCAATTTCCTCCTGTAACTCCATTCTGCTGGGGTCCTTGTGGGATACCGCCGTGATCTGTTGCTTGAGATCATTTACCTCCTGTTTCAATCCCATGAGGTTGTGGGCCAGGAAGATGATGACCTTGGTGAGCTTTTTGTAGTCATAACTCTCGCTTGAGCCCTGAGTCTGAGGTACTCTTTTCTCTGTGTCCAGTTGCTTTCGGCTCAGTAGGTGGTCGTCGGCCCTGGGTAGGGGGTGTTCCTCACAACGCCTGGCCAGTCCTCTTTGGTCTGCATTCTGGGCAGTTAGTCTGAGCATGTGCAACATTTTGGCAAACTTGTGTTGAGAGTAAGGGCTAGAGACTACTACAAGATCAAAACAGAGTGTGAATGCTAAGATCGGTTTGGGTCAGCATATGTTTGCTGAAAAGGGCGTAAACAGGGTTTTGATTGATGACTTAAGACTACTCTTATTTGTCAAATTATCACTCAGAATTTACTGACGGTTCCCCAAACAGGCTCAATCTCTGAGGAAGTGAAGGAGAAAAGGGAAAAGCAGAAGGAAAAGGAGAGCATTTCTATTCAGATTATGCTTATTATTTGGTGCTCAGGACGATAGTTATGCCCTAGTGTTTGTCTAGATGACTTTTGTAACAGGGTCATAAAAATTAGGGCACATGTTTGAAAATAAACAAATCAAAAATAGAAGTGTCTCTGGTTCCTTTTGAGGTTCAGAGAGAACATCAAAACAAAAGGGGGCATACATGTAAATGGATTTAAAATTAGCTGACTGCTATTATTAAAACAGGGTAATCAATCTGGTATTGGGAACAATCAGTAGCACTAGTGATTAACTGATTTGTGTTGGGCAACACACCATGTCTGGTCACAGCTGCTGCGTGTTCAGCTCCCATGCTGTGATTTTGCCATGTGTGTGCCCCGCCCTCCGTAGCACGTTACTCACTGTGTTACTAAAAGCACCCAATAACGTAATGATTCTTCTCTAGATAAATGTAATTAATGTAATTAAATTTAGATTTAATTAACTAGTAACTGAGCAATAGCATTCAGGAAGGATACAGTTACATTAGTTAAATTCGCTGAGACGAATTAAAGATTGGGAAACATAGAAAAAGAAGGAAAAGAAAGTGAAAAATCAGAAACCAGAGATTAAGTTAAGTTCAAATTACTTCACACTGCATACACACATGCTGTATTTAAAAGCTTCAATTAAAGAGTGCTAACCCCTAATTGTTAAAGCTATTTGGTAGCTTAGCCTAAGATTAACTATGCTAAGTTGTGTTAGCTTAGCTGCTTCAGGTTGTTTGTTTACAACATGGCATCACCAGGTGACGCGTGTGCTATGTGGAGTTAGCGCTTACTGTAACAAGTTGTTGTCATGGTAACCAATGCATGCCAGTGCAATTCAAGCAGTTTAGTGTCTACCTATTTCAAAGAAGTTGCCCACAGCTTTAAAATGTGGTGCTTTCAGTCCTTCAAGACTTGTTGCATTAAATAAGCACTTCTGTGAGTGCTTCTCTAATTTAACAATAAACTTCTTGCACTTGTTTAAAGAATAACAAAATGGGTTTACTGTAAGTTAAAGCCGGTTTAAACATATATGTAGTTATGTGTGCCTCACACATGAATACTAAAGTACAGTATTACACCTTTAGTTTCACTCAGCGAGTGAAACACAGTAATGTCCACCAGGTTGCTAGACTTGTATATATACAGTCAAAGTGTAGATGAATTGCCATGATCTAATTATAATCTATAATGCCTTTATGCTGTAGAAAGAGGAGCATCACTCAGATCTACCTTTATATAACACTGTACTGAGATTTCTTCGTCAGAAACAGTTTAAACAACACTGAAATTTTGTGATTTCTTCACTAAAGCAGATTAATGCATTATGGGTGAAACCCAGTAATGACCACCAGGTTGCTAGGCTTGTATATATACAGTCAAAGTGTAGATGAATTGCTTCAATCTAATTATAAACTATAAGGCCTTTATGCTGTAGAAAAAGGAGCAACAATCAAATCTGCCTTGATATAACTGTACTGAGATTTCTTCTTCAAAGAAACTATTTAAACAATACTGCAATTTTGTGATTTCTTCACAAAAAAAGTTTAATACATTATGGTACAGTTTGGACATGCCGCTGAGCTGAGATTCAGACTTATGCTTTGTCAGAACAGATTTATGCTTTAATACTGAAATTAGGGTTTCTTCGCTAAAATCAGATTAACCTTACACTGATACCAAGCATGAAATACATAAAAACTCTTTCAATCATAATAGCGGTACCAATTCAAGCCCCTACTTTAGCTGCATTTAAACAAGCCAGCAAATAGGGACACAAATGTGTATCTCAAGTCACGCCCTATTCTAACCTGGACTATCAAGCACACACTTTTAGGTTGACAGTGTTTTAAGCTCATAACCTTTGTTTTATCATGCCTGCATTCTCCACCATTCTGTAGCGAATCAGCTCATGGGGAAATATGAATAATTAATCATAACTAGTTATAATTAATTATAAACATTTAGATCCGCTGTAGATATTTACTTGACCTCTCAGGGTCAACTGTCTCTCAATTCTAAGAACGTTAATTTCCTGGTTAAGGGAAATAACTTTCTTACTGTACAACTCTACACAGAGCCTGTAGCATAAATCTGCATGATTAGGGACTCCAGTTATGAGCAAACAATGAACAACGTCAAGTGTGATACAAGTAAGGCTTTATTAACTACATAAACACATAAACTAGTCTAACATACTACATAAACACATAAACTGGTCTAACACACACATACACACACACACACACACACACACACACACAGACATATGCATACAGTTGGTATAGGAAAGGGTTAAAGCTTAAGCAGTAAAGAGGAGAGAAATAAGGAATGAAGTTATGGAACCATTTGCATATTCAGCAGATCTACACCTGAGGGAAACGTCAGATTCTTAGTTCAAACACACCTTTGTAAAAAGGTGCAAATGATACCTAATGTATCAATTAATAAGACTAAGTTTGAATACTTGCACGTCTCGTCTGTCTGAAAGAGAGGTTTGATGCAATCTGAAGGTTCAAGTTGATCTTTGCTGAAGTTGGTTGATGAAAAAGAACCAGTTTGAGTCAGAGAATCTTGGTGAATGGAAAAGTCAAGGCCGAAGCCTGGCACGAACTTAGGGTGTCCTGGAGCGCTGTAGCTCACATCTTCTCAATAACCTAACAGAACCACCGACTCTGGGCGGATCCCTGGTGTGAGGCCTTTAAGGTCGGAGAAGATCCACGCCTCTCAAGATGGGCTTGTCCAATGAGAAAGGCCGGAATCCCAAGTGGGAGTTTGGAAATACTGGGGAGTTTATGACCCTTTGTGTGGAAGCATGGTAATTTGCATATGGAACTTGAATCGAAATTACTAAAGATTCTCAGGACACTAATATATTGCCTATGTACCAACATATAATATACACTCTCGTTTAGATCATCAGAAGACTAATTCATAGATACTAAACATGGTAGGATTACATATAGGTAAGATGACAGGAACGAGTGGTTCCATCATAAGCCTGCATAAAACAGTATAAAATCTCAAAGACAACATACACAATGACCTGAAGGATATGTGTGTTCATTCAAAGAAAGGTTTTCCTATGGATTAATTAGAAAAGAGTCAATTTCTACTGTGCACTGTGTCTCTTCCTTATGAAAGAGTAGTGCGAGGGGAAATTCTCAACATGCCATTAGGTCGTAAATGTATCTGGTCTAGCAAAGGTGTCGTGGTTGCCATGGGGACCAGGGGGGGCCTGGTGTCGTTCGCAGACATCCTGGCACCCAGTAGGTTATTGGGTGAGGGGTCTGTGACTATTTGTTAATCTAATGAATAACTGATTTGTTAAATCAAATGAAAAATGGTGTGTCTGATTGGTCCAGACGCTACAAAATCCCCCTTTTCGGACGTTGTTGTCCGTAGAATAGACAACAGCGAGCGACGTCAAAGGTGCCTGACATCAATCAGACACGCACCTGCCACTCACGGCTGGGAGACAGTGGTGGCTCTCTGGCTGTTGGTGCCTCCAGGAGTGGTTGTGGTGCCGTGGTGGATGCTGTCAGGTGGTGCGCTGTGGTGATGTAGGCTGTAGCAAGGTGTGGGTCCTCGAGCTTATGCAGCAGGTGTCGAGGCTGTGTCACCTGTCATCCTGAAGTGAGTTGGTCTGGGTAAGATGGTTGTTTGTCGATGTTGTTAGCCAGTAGGCTATCCGTGGTACCCACGAAGGGTTTTGCATTGTGGCAATGCTGGGTGCCTTCTGGTGCCTGCTTTGGATTCTGAGTTGTGAAGTTCAGAATCAGTGGGGTCTGACAAACACCTTTAGTGGAGGCCTTGTGCTTGTTAAAGGCCTTCTGTGTCAGGTTACGCAGCTGTTGATTAGGCATTGTGCGGCAGGCCATAATGCCTAGATGGTGACTTACACTAGGATGGAGGTTTCGGAGGAAAAGGTTCTTGCAGCTGGTGTCCTCCGCCATCCCAGGGTAATTGCGAGCTTCGGAGTAAGCTTGTCGAAGTCTGTGGTAGTAAGCATGGAGATTCATGCCGGCCCTGCTTGGTGTCTGGGGCAGCGATCAGTCCGTGTTCAGACTCTGGGTCTGAGAATTCCTTTATGATGGCTTGTTTAAGCTGCTGGTGAGGCTGCAGGATCAGTTCCTTTGATGTCCTCAGGGTCTCTGCAGTATTTAGGTTGCCAGATGTATTGTCTCTGGCCAGCTCGTTGGGGTCT